AATATTAATATTTTTATAGAATAATAAATATATTTAACAGTCATTTTTTTAATAAAATCTATACTATATTATAAAGTATTTGATAAAAATTCTTAAAAACTATTTTTTATGCATGAATTACTGTTTATTGATGCATGTTACTTAAAATTCAATATTACAAGTAAACTGTGTGTACAAGAGCTTAATGTTTGAAATCGTGTAACTAACTGCATATAAACATAATCAAATAGATGACAAACATTTCATTTTAAATATAAAAAATCTAAAATATAATTAGGATAATTATTGAGTTCTAACAAAATACTTAATTATTATCTTCATAAAAAAATTATTAAACCAAAAATGAATTAAAGAAAAATATACAAAAAAGAAGAAATTTTAAATAATTAGTCTGATACTCATATCAATATTCTTTTTCAAATTTTTATGATATTTTCATATTTATATTTTATTCAAAAATAAAAACATTATTGTTTTTTCAAAACCACATAAAATCGTATTATAACATCGATCGAGACAAAATAAAATAAAACAAAACATTAAAATCAAGATTTATCTCACTATATTATACGAATACCCTTTTAATTTATATAATTAACAGATTTGAAATTTTCACAAGTGGCACGATATATTAATGAAATATTAATCTTAAATCATATGGTGTGTGGTCATCAGATCTTCGAAGATTGCATGAAATAATTGTTTTTTCTTTTTATAATTTCATTTTGTAATATATTTTTTTGTCTTATTTACGATTGATTGTCTCATGTCGTTATTTTAGATGATCTCTAATCTAACTATTAAAAAAACATTAAATATAATGAATTAATTAATCGTTAAAAAAATTAAATTCAACATCTATACTGTATTATAACACATTTGACAATAACTCTTAAAAACTCTTCTTTATGCATGAAATACTGTGTGTTAATGTATATTACTTAAAATTTAAAATTACAAGTAAATTATGCGTAAATACAACTTATTAAAACTATATTTTTTGAATTCGTATAACTAACTGCAGATAAACATAATCAGATACAGGATAAACATCTCATTTTAAGTATATAAAAAATCTAAAATATAATTAAGATAATCATTGAGTTCTAACATAATCATTATCTTTGTAAAAAATATATTGTTAAGCCAAAAATAAATTACTTTGCTATTAGACCTAAATTAATATATAATAAAAATTTAAATTAAAAATTGTAAAAAAAAACGAGAACTTTAAAATAGTTAAGTTAATATTAATGTCGATATATTTTTTCAAATTTTTATGATATCTTTTCAATTTTATTTTTTATTTAAAAGTAAAAACATTACATTTATCAAAACCACATAAACCATATTCTATCAATAGAGACAAAAAATAAAACAAAATATTAAAATGAAGATGTATCTTGCTGCATTGTGTGAATACCCTTCTAGTATATATAGGGTTGGTTCACGTGAGACTGGTCTGTTTTCATGAAACAACATTTTTATACTTGAAACTTCACGATAAAATACTGTGAATGTAAGGAAAACCGAACATTCACAGCAAAACACTGTAAACATTTTGTTGTGAAGTGTAAAGTGTAAAAAATTGGAGGTGAGGCCTCGGCTCGTCATTTTTCTTTGTGTATGTGGCGTATTCTATGGACGAGGACTCCAATACCTCATAATTGCAAGCCCTCCTTTCATGTCCAACCCCCCCCGTACGGTGGACGAATCTTGCTGAATCATACTAGTTGCATGCTATTTATTTGCAATACTCACTTGTTAATGCAAATCTCATCGTGACATGCAATATACATCTCATGCATATGACAACATAATATCACATATGCATCATCGTCATCTTTCACATTATACACATACTCGAATATCATATTAATAATATCAAGTCATCATAATCTTTCTCATTATCATCATCTTTCATATAATGCATATACTTGAATATCATGTACATCAATACAATCAATTTATCAACATATAAACACATCATGCAAATATCATGGATGAAATACTTTGTAATAATCACATATATATCGCATAAAAATCACATAATGTACTCACCTTGAATTGTTAGCGTTCGATGAGTTGTTTTTCTCAAAATCCGCAACTTACATGATAATTCATACAATTCCTAAGCATCTTAGATAATCGTAACTAAATTGATCATTATTTTCCAACAATTTAAGCACGACTAGTTTTAACAATTTTTATTGACCAACCTCCAATACCATCATATCTTATGTTTCGTTCAAATATTTTCTTGAAATATTATTAACAATATGACGTTGTTATAATATTAATTGTTGCTCGTACATTTTATAAAAATGTGCAATACACTTCACATTTTTTTGAACAATAAGTGTTTTACCAAAATAACTAAACTAAATAGTTTGCAACATAAATAATGTTTTATGGCCAAAAAACGTATCGTTTAAAATTTGCAAGTGAATAACGGTGACAAAATGTTACACACATATAAATAACTGTCATTTCATAACTTTAAAGTTCAACATAATCAATACTCGAAATTATGTTTAGAATACCAATTTTTCAAGTATAGGGGCATTTCGGTAATCTTAAGAAGCTGAATATCAAATGTATAGCTTTAACCAATTCTCTAATTTAGAACATTTTTGGTACATTTCATAAGTCGAATATTAAAACTATGCTTAAAAGTTCAATCCCAAAGAATAGGGGTATTTTGGTAATTTTATTAAGCAATACTCAAAGTATTGTTAAAATACCGGTTCCCTAATTATGAGGTCATTTTGGCAATTTCATAAGGATGATAATCAAAATAAAGTTTAGATACTAATTCAAAATACGTAAATTATTGCTAAAATACCGATTTTCAAATACAGGGTCATTGTGTTAATTTTATAAAGATAATAATATAAAGACGAAGCTTATATACCAATCTCCAAGGTATAGGATTATTTCGGTAATTTTATAAAGCAAATACGTAAAGTATATTTAATATACCGATTTCCAAACATAGGGTTGTTTTGGTAATTTTATAAAAATAATAATATAAAAATGAAGCTTATAGACCAATCTCCAAGACATAAGATTATTTTGGTAAAATTTGGAAGCAAATACGCGAAGTATTGCTAAAATATCGATTTCCTATTTACAAGGTTATTTTAGTAACTGAAGGAGATAAATAATCGAAATAGGGTCAAAGTTTGCATTTTACAAAATCCAAATAAATTTGATGAAAACTTCATAAAATTATTACAGAGAAAATTGTATTTTTGAAACTCTAGGGGTTAAATGTTAATTTTTAAAACTTACGTATATAATGCATATTAATAACATCGATGCATAAAATGTAATAAAACTTGTGTTAGCTTACTGGTTAAGGCATTGGAGCCTCAAGCTAATGGCTAAATGGATGCTGTCAAATCCTAGACATGTCTGACCAAATCCAAATCCGCTTGCAATCCAAATAGGCAGTAGCTATGGCTGTACGTTTTGGAGCTTTTCAAAATCGAAAATGGCTTGTTTCTTGAGATTTTTTCTTCATTTTTATGTATCAAACCCTTGGTAATATTTTTACCAACATTTTGACATAAAGTACAAAATTTTTCGTCAAGAAATGAGTTTTTCAAAATTTGATTTAAAGTTTTGTTTTTAAAACTAAAACTCAACAACTTCAAAACATAAAAATCGAACCATGTAAACACAAGGTTTGATAGAGTACTTAAAAACGAAGTCATAGACATAAAAATAAAGAGATTTGGTTAAGAATCTCACCCAAAATCGGTGAAAAACCGAGATTTTTGATTCTCAAACTTCAAACTCAGATTTTCCTCTCAAAACTCAACAATTTTACTAGCTATTTGAATGGAAACGATCGTAAGTCAGTGCTCTACAATTTATATGTCAAGAGTTTTATCTTATTAGTTTAAGAAATCGGTCATATCACGAGTTTTAGGCTGTGAGATCGTTTTATACAAACAGACATATACTTTTGGCAAAACAAGCCCCTAATTATTGAAAAAGATGACGTTTGACTCCCTAAACTTTCTGACATTTACAACCAAACCCCTTCTAACATAATATATTACACTTTTGGTCAATAAAAAAACTAATTTTATTTTATTTTCCTTATTTTTATTTATTTAAAATTTTTATAATTATTATTTTTTAATTAATTAGATAAACATTTTAACATTTTAAATAAATTTAATAAAAAAATATTTAAAAACTCATGTAATATTATTTATATATTTAATTTTTTTGGGAATATTAGAGTAGAATTTTTTTTTTTGGGTTATACCGTTTTAAACATGCTCGTGAAAGAAAAGGAACGGTGGCGGGAATGGCAGAAAGCAGTCCACACAGGTATCTCGGACCTCCCTTTTGCCGTCGAAAGACACTCTTGCCGTTATCTGGAACTGATGCAGTGGCATCTTCGGTTCGATGAGATTGGAAACCGAAAAAGCAAAAAGCAAAACCCTAGTTGTTTTCCTTCTTTGGGTCCTTTGTTCAATTGCTTCTCCAGGGATGCAATCATTCGCTACTCCCATAAAGTTGAAATGCTTCCATTCTTTGCTTGCTATCGGAGAAACCCCTAAAAGCCGATTAATTCCTCCACATCAACAAGCAAAGGATCTCTACACACACTCTCTCTATATCTAAATTCCAAAATACAAATATGAATCTGGATTACACATTCTTCAGCAGCTTTCGTGACAGAGCAAGAGATAGTTCCCACAAATTTCAGGTGGAGATCAGGGGTGTTCACGGAGTTGGACGGTGGGGATGGCGAGTACGAGTGGGACCAAAGATGAGGTGGGTCCACCGAGGTCGTTGTCGAGGAGGATGACGAGGACTTCCACCATGTTTGATCCAAATGCTGATGGGGTTGACAGCGAGCTTGTCCCATCTTCCCTTGCCTCTATTGCTCCCATCCTTCGTGTTGCAAATGAGGTCGAGAAGGATAATGACAGAGTTGCTTATTTGTGTATGTTTTCCCAATACTCTATTTGCCTACTTCCTTCCTAAGATGCCAAATTTCTTTAAAAGAATTGGTGACTATATTGTTAAAAAACTAACAAGCTTTAGGCCTTCCAATCCATGGGCATGGCCTAAGGCGATGATTGTAACCTAAGGGACTTTGAACCATGCTTCACGAGACACCAAGTCTCATAAGTCCAACCTCTTGTGGTGACTATTGGTATCATAACACAGAAAAAGGAAGAATTTAGAGTTTTTAGGTTGGTTTTTGGTTGAGAATGCTAGGTTGGTTTAGAGTTGCAAATAAGTTATGTTCTAAGGGGCCGTTGACCAAACGCTTATATAAGCGCTTACCAAGTCAGATTACCTTAATGGATGAATATGACAAGGACCAAGAATCTTATCCAGTAAGAGCGAGTTAAGGACCGAGAATCTTACCCTGTAAGTGAGGGCGACGATTCTTACCACGGTTAACGCTTACAGGATAACTTGTTGCACACGATGCCGTTTTGGTGGACTAAAATCTTACCCAGTAAGTAAGTGATAATGTTGACATTTACCGGTAAGCGCTTACCAGGTAAGTGTTTGGCAAACGCCCCCTAAGTTCACAGTGATTGGGATTGCTTTGGTTATGAAGAATTTCGATTACTATATAGGAGGAAGTATGAACTTCTTTATGAGGAAGTCGAGAAAGATTTCATTAAAAGGAGAAAATGTGCACAAGTTGGTACAAAGAGTACTGCAACAGTAAAAGTACAAGAAAAAGGAAAATCGAATTAAAGAGATAAAAGAATGTCACCATCTTCTCCACAAAATTACACCAACACAAATAAGCCTGAAGCAACTTAGAAATAAAAAATAAAAAAAATCTAAAGATCTAAATTCTAAGCCAGAAAACTCCAGTGACGGGATCCACTTCCCCATAAATGAGAACTCAAACGGCAGAGGGCAGCAACGGCCAACTTCCAAACATATATGTTGAGAAAGTGAAGTGAAATGCCAATGAGGGAACAGGATGCGGAGGGAAAGGCACTGGGGGATGGCAAAAGAGGTACTTTGGCAAAAGAGGTACTGCCTATGAGGAGGGCTGTTGAGGTGCCAAAGGTGGAGATTCTGAAGGCAAGCAGGGGTGTGTGGAGATGGCAGGCAAAGGAAAGTTTACACTTTACAGAGGTGGTTGGAAAGTGGTGGGTACAGTGTGGCTGGAGCCTAGATAGGTTAATGGGAAGGGAAAAAGCGTTGATCTGGAAAGGAGGAGTAAGTATTGGAGGGATGAGGTCCTGATGGAGCAAAAGACATCTATGAAATTCTGAATTTGGAAAACACTACATTTGGATTTGCAAAAAGTTAAAAGTGTCAACTTTGTTGTGGGACGGAGGTAGTATATCTAAGCATACACTCAGATCTTGATGTGTAGCAATGATAGGATGGTCAAGGAACAAAAACCATATGGTTTGACCTTGATCTTCTACAAGTTGGTTTTCTCTGACCAGTCACCGTATTCTGTTTCTGAAGTAGGTGCCAATAACGTTAAAGGCTCAAATGATTGTGTGTTAGGGCAATGCCATTTCTTGAGTGCTTATGGTGGAAGGAGGATATGGTTTGTGGGGAACTGGAAAAATTTGAGTTAAAATGTGAATGAGAGATTATTGAAAAACCTCTACCTGCATCTGTAAACCTGTAAGAATTCAAGGCTTTTAGGTTCTAAATTGAAAGTTTCGTCTCATAAGTGTTATTTAATGATTTTATGCAATTGCAAATTATTAGTGACCTTCCTTTCTCTGTTAGGTCTAAGTGACTAATGTACAAGATGTTGGTTGTGCTTGCTAGCCACTCTACTGAATATCTCATAACCTTGCACATATTTAATTTATTGGATTAGGTCGGTTTCATGCATTTGAGAAGGCCCACAGGATGGATCCTAAATCTAGTGGACGTGGTGTCCGCCAATTCAAGACCTATCTGTTACATAGACTTCAGAAGGTGCACAGTACAAGTTTCATTGCCTTTTCTGTCTTGGCTGATTTAGTTTACCATATCCTACTAATTGCTTTTTTTCTGTCTGGGATGACAACGTCGTTTTAAGTTAACATGAAAGTATGTTCATGATATTAGATTTCTTAGAAACTCTTATGGAAGTATCAAATGTTCTTTTGTTACAGGAAGAAGAAAAGACAAGACCTCGATTAGCAAAAAATGACCCTAGGGAAATCCAGAAATACTACCAAAACTTCTACGAGAAGAATATCAAAGAGGGCCAATACACAAAGAAACCGTGAGGCTTGGTTTTAATTAATGACCTTTTGAATACATATGGAGATGTTACCTAATCTAATTACTTATTCATTTCGTTATTTAACTTTATGTTATCTCTTAAGTGAGGAGATGGCAAAGATCTATCAGATTGCGACGGTTTTGTATGATGTACTTAGGACGGTAGTACCTGCTGCAAAAGTTGAGGCTGAGGTATGATTGGTTTATCATGCACACACACACACACATATATATATATATATATATATTGAATTCTAGTTGCTATGCAAGTTCAATACCAAAGTATTTATGCCCTCATTTATGTGACATTGCAGACTCAACAATATGCAAAAGATGTAGAGGAAAACAGAGAACAATATGAACACTATAACATTCTTCCTTTATATGATGTTGGAAATAAACCAGCAATTATGGAGCTTCCTGAGGTTGTATTCAGATGGACATACATCTTATTTTCCTTTCTTTCATTCTCTTCTTCTCTTCCTTCCCTCCTCTTCATACACACACACACACACAAGTATGCATATATCCCTCTTATTTGTTTCATTCTTTATATGTTATTAGATCAAAGCAGCTCTTCGTGCAATTCGCAATATGGATAACCTTCCAGCTGTTAGAAGGGTAGGAGACAGAGACAAACCTGTTAATGATATTCTTGAGTGGTTGTCATCAGTTTTTGGATTTCAGGTAACTTGCACTTGATCCACTTTGTTCAACTTTTGAATATTTTATGGCTTTGTTGTGTTTCTTTATATTCTTTCCGTCTCACCCTTAATGATCCAGTGAAAAAGAGCACAATAAACTTTTTCGACCCATCTCTTTAATTTATCTGAAGTGATAGAAAACTCTAGTCCTGATAAATCCACTGACCATATTATAGCCTCAAAAGGTTTATGACTTGAAACTCATGCCGAAATTATTCGTCTTATACACAAACATGTGTGTGTAACTGTGTATATGTATGTATATATATTTGTGTGTATATGCTTATATATATGGTTTCATGGTATATGACACCTTTAGCCTAACTAGTGCACAAGTTTATGCCAAGCACCCCCTCTACATGAACCATTTAAATTTTGGGCCTAATGGCCATGACCCTCAAAGGAATTGGTAGTGCCTGAAGGGAATGAAACCTGAGGCCTCATGCACTTTGGACACAAGGCTGCAGAGGATTGACTGCCAGGCCAGTCCCTTGGGTTATTTGTCTTATATGTACTAGACACCATACTTGTCTGAAGCATGTATAGTTAGCAAACAGATTTAATGTTCCAAGAACAGATAAGAAGCTCCGGGTTATCTTTGCTTTCCTGTTAAGAACTCTGAAAATAGAGGACTTGATTTCTAAAATTAACTTCACATGAAACATGGGAAACATAAATCATCTGCTTATCAAATTATCTACCGGAAATTGAAAAAGATTAAAAGAAAGACCAAAAGAAATCCACCTTCTATTTTTATGTCAAGCAGTGGATAGATAAATGCCACTATAGCAATAGAAGCAAGATATGTTGTTAATATGATTACTTAACTGACATTCCCTTTTGAATTATTCCTCTTTCTGAATGGGTAGGGGGAGTTTTCTGTAGGCAATTATTGGGTATATGTAGAATGACCTTGCATTCGGTAATTTGAAAATTGACTTTCAGTACCGGACATGCCTTCTGAACTGTTGGGAATTCTAAAACATCCACAGTAATGTTACGAGTCCCAAGTTCAGGACATCCCTTTGTATTTGACTAGACATGTTTGCTCCACTAATGACATCTCGATGCTTCCTTCTATTTGTTGTACTTTCCTCACTGAAACCCATGCAAAAATTGCTTACTATGTTGTTTATTTGGACGGTCACAGTGATCAAATTTATGGTATGCAATGTAAATGTTAAATATGCTTCAGGATTGTGTTTCTAGCATTTAGCTTTGCAGATCTTGTTTACAAATCTGACTATGATTGAACTTTCTGCATCTCTGAAATGAAGAAAGGAAACGTTGCTAATCAACGGGAACACTTAGTACTGCTACTTGCAAATATTGATAGAAGGTCTACGGGTGTTGAAGATTATGGGCAGGTAAAGCTTCCACCATCTTATCAAAATAACTTGAACACGGAACTTCAATGTTTGTATCTGAAATTCATTCGCTCTTCTGCAGGTTGATACTCTATATTAGTCTTATTTACTATATTGTGTTTCAGAGATGCACTAATTACTGATAAGGAATTTTTGGCAGTTGGATAGCCATACCGTAAAGCATTTATTGGATAAAACTTTCAAGAACTATGTCTCATGGTGTCACTATCTGCACTGTACATCAATCCTTGAGTAAGTTGCTATCAAGATTGCATAGCATGTTTGGAGTCTTTTGAAGTGAGGATTTAATCTTTATTTCTAATCGTGTTCAATTTATTGTTTGTACAAGATCACGTGAGGTTCCACCTACTGCTGATACTGATAGTCAGCAGTTACAGCTTCTCTACATTGGACTCTATCTGCTTATCTGGGGTGAAGCTTCAAATATCCGGTTCATGCCTGAATGCATTTGCTATATTTTCCATAATGTATGTTTTCTCTTGAATTCCCACATTTTTAATCTTTGGTAATTCATGTCAGTCTCTTTATATGTTCTTACTTTGATTTGCTTTTAAATTCAATATCATCTTGCTTTTTGTCTTTGTTTAGAACATCAATTTTAGAGCTCCTGAATATCGTATAATACGTATATCTATTACAAACGTAGTTCATCTATCATGCCATGCTGGTCTGTCTTTTCTTACCTTCGTTTTCCCTTCGATAACAGACCTATTACCAGAAATTTTATTCCATTTATTTTTATTAACCTGAATATCCAACCCGCTATGCGAGCCGACTAATCCCACGGTGACCACCTGCTTTGCAGATAGCCCGGAGTCACCGCATTTAAACCTCCGTGGCCACAAGGGGATTTTTATTCCTCCTTGGATTTGAACCTGGGACCTCCTGGTACTTTTGACCTTTGGAGCCAAGCTCAAACCAATCAGGCACCACCCTCGTGGTTTTTTATTCCATTTCTTTATGCTAACATAATCAAGAAAAAGTATAACTTCTGTGATCAGGAAAAGAGATATAGGTGCAAAGCAACTTGGAGCCAAAGCAAGCTAATAACAAAATGGGAAAATAATCTAAGCCTGATATAACTAGGACCATCCTAATATCTCTTACTCTAATAAGCATAAATTTAAGACTGATTTGACTTCTAACATTCCTCTCGTTGGGAGATTGGAGCACACCTAACTTAACAATGAGAAACTAACTCAAAACTTGAGAATCTCTCCTTCCCATATCCCAATCATACTTGTATAGTGAACAAAATACTCGAGATCTGATCAAATCAAACTAAGAACAACAATAGAAGCAATGAACAGCAACATAAATGATAACAGGTCTGGTGAACAATGGAAAATTGAAGGGATAAGACGAAACAGGAACGTCTAGGAACAAAAACATCACTACAGTAGAAAAAAAATACAACAAACAGGAAGACCAGAAAAGATGGAGGGGGACAAAGCTGAAGAAAGAAATAGATTCCGAAAACAAAATTTTAGATTCAAGAATTGAACCCCACCTCAACAGTCAAAAGCATATCTCTTCTTTTGGCCTTGGCTCCTTCCTGTTTATCCATAACATGATCCCTCGTTTTGGCAAGAGTATATCCTATAATGTTGTAACTTTGTAAAACAGTTGAGTGACTCTTAAAATATTACACACAATAGAAATATATTTCAAGTACACATGCAAGTAATAATTGTTTTTCACTATCAAGGTGGGTGGAACAAACACAATAACAATAAAATGGTTTATGATGACTTGATTTCTTCTCTGCGGTGAGTTAATTGTTGAGAGCTTGCAATTTCATCGTATTTGTTATTAATATCATTTATTTTTAAAAGTGTAACTATATTTAGTTTATCTTTATGATGAGGCTACTTTGACCGGGGAATGACATTGACCATCTTCTTTTCATTTTAAAATCAGATGGCAAAGCAAATGCATGGAACTTTATTTGCCAATGTCCAACCTGTGAGTGGAGGCACATATCAAGCAGAACCACTTCATGAGGAAGCATTTTTGCATGATGTTGTGAAACCTGTTTATGAGGTTCTACGCAAGGTAATAACATCTAAGGTGCACCCACAGTTGTTCTAATTTGAAATGTTCTTCTGTAACAGAACAAATTATTTTCTAATTGTTGACAGGAAGCCAGAAGAAATCAAGGTGGCAAAACAAGTCATGCTTCATGGAGAAACTATGATGATCTTAATGAATATTTTTGGTAATTCTTTTAATCATAAAATTGACATTTGTGCTACAATTGTTTCACCCTTTACTAATACACCAACCTTTTTAATTCCCTCTCTTTCAGGTCTGACAAATGCTTTAAGTTAGGCTGGCCAATGGACCCCAAGTCTGACTTTTTTGTTCACTCCGATGAATCATCGCGGACTCATGCAGTATGTGTAGATTTGTGCAACTTTAAAGCTAGTATTCACCAAAGAAATGCTTGGATTAAGTAATCGGCAAAACAAATGTCAGTTGTAATCTAGGATCAAGTACATTTCCAAATGTAGTAGGAAATTGATATGCCTTCTCTGTTGGATTTGCAACGGATGCTCTAATTTCATTTTCACCTTTAGGTTTCAGTATGCCACCTTTGGTGGACTGACTACAAATTACGAATAAGAAACTTGCATCAATTGGGAGTCTTAACCCCTCCCCCCTAATGCTTATAAAAAATTTGCAACATTTAACCTGACAGTTTGTAGGAATTATGATACTTCATACATACATGAATGTGGTATGATGTCCCTTGAAACGTAGTTTGTAGTATAGAGTTTTTGTCGACGTGATTTATCTCAGCAATAAGTTACCAAAAATGGTAACCAGTTATAACTTTTAGCATGCCTTATGAGTTCAATATAGTTTTTCTTCTCCTTGTAATTATCTGCACATGGATTAGGTGACTTATGCTTATTTGACAGTCCATGGCTTGTAGAATACAATAACGAGAAGATCCATACAGGCAGTTCTCTGTAAATTCTAATTCCATATTTGGTAAATACCATGACGATAAATACGATTTTAGAACTTCAAGAACATGATGCATTTTTCATGTTGTTTAACATTACATATGTGAATATCTAATTATTGAAGTTAGATATCTATGGTTTATAAGGACTCTATTTTTTTGTTCTAGTGTGCAATTGTTGATTGGCAGTAAGAACTTGACATGTAATTGCAGGGGCGCAACCAAGTAGTATCTGGAAAGAAGAAACCTAAAACAAACTTTGTTGAAGTGCGCACATTTTTGCACCTTTACAGGAGTTTTGATCGGATGTGGATATTCCTTATATTGGTCTTTCAGGTATATTAATATATAAATAGAATCATAGAACCATGCAGTTGGTTGATGATTACTTTATTTGGATTGGTAGCATTTCAAGGTTTCTATTCTATTTGCAGGCTATGGTAATTCTTGCATGGCATGAAGACGGATCGATTTTTGGAATATTTGATGAGGATGTCATTAAAAATATCTTAAGCATATTCATTACTTATGCTGTACTCAACTTTATTCAAGGTACATACAGCACCTTTTTTCATTAATTTTATTTCCCATTTACAAATGGAGCCACTTAGCCCACATATGGGTAAATGTTATATTTTGCTTTTGTCTCAGTTCCCTGTCTGTCTATGAACTTCATAGATTTTGTTTAAGCAACACTAGCAATTTCTGACATTTTACATTCACATATCTGTAGCTGCACAATCTTATTAACTCTTTCTACTTAATAAGGATCCGTCATCACTGTTGGACTGCTGAGCATTATAGTTCCCATTGTCTAAAGTGATGGAAACTGTCACCTTTCTACTTTTTATCAACAGTCCAATTCTTAACCTCGTGTACACCAACTCCTTAGTTTTGGCAATCTCTGACCCCAATTTAATTGCATTTCAAATATCTTACGGACATCCCCAAATCTTGCTGGTTTAGATTTTATTTGTGGCGATAACCGGGTATATCTACTATACGACCATTGACTAAAACATGACCGAAATTTATGAGATGATAAAATATGGCAAAAGCTATACTGAAAAAGGATAGGGAAAAGACAACTATGACAACGGTTGTAGTAACTAGTAAACATATGAAATGGTTCGAAATGCTCAAACATGATTCCTTCATAACTGTATGTCGGTCTGCGGCTAAGTTTTATTGTTTCTTCCTGCAGCTACTCTAGATATAATCCTTAGTTTCAGTGCGTGGAGGAGCTTGAAACCTACCCAGATTCTTCGCTACCTTTTCAAATTTATTATAGCTGCCTTTTGGGTTGTCATACTGCCTGTTTGTTATTCAAGATCTGTTCCGAATCCAACTGGACTTGTGAGGTTTTTCAGTACTCTGGGAGGAAATTGGAGGGAGCAATCCCTTTATAACTATCTTATAGCAATTTACTTGATACCCAACATACTGGCTGCCTTGCTGTTTCTGCTTCCACCTGTAAGGAGATCCATGGAACGCTCGAATTGGCGTATAGTCACTCTTCTTATGTGGTGGGCTCAGGCAAGCTCCTTTACTTGTCATTAGTTTGTATTGATATTATATGCTTCTTGTTCTATTCTTAAGTTCGCAAAAATCTCAGCCAAAACTCTATGTTGGAAGAGGCATGCATGAGGACATCTTTTCTCTTTTCAAGTAAGGATAACACAGTTTATTGATGATATGATACATTATCTGAATTTTCTTTTTTCTTAAGTTATTACTCTTGATCCTAGGTATACACTATTTTGGATAATGCTGCTTATAAGCAAGTTTGCGTTCAGCTACTATGTGGAGGTAGTTTTTGCTCCTATCATGCTGTTACAGAAAATCTCAAATTTATTTCTAATATGAGCCAGCTGCTGGGGTTTGTATATTATCGTCTTTATGCATGTGGCAATTATTCACCATTAGACGAAGTTCATTAACTACTGAACACCAAAATGCCAAATTCATTTTCAAGCTCAGTGAAGTAGACTACACCATGGATTACATAAAATATTACCTATAGGACCAACAAGCCCTCATAGGGGATTAGCCAAGAAGGCCTATAACCTGGTCTACAGATCAAACCCAGACTAGCTTATTTGTAGGAGAGTTGCAAAAACTACCAACCACGCTCTCACAAACAATGATAATCAACCTCAATATGTTTTATATGCTCAGCAAAAATCTCGTTGGGCGGAGATATGCATAGTCGGCTCATTGTCGAATTACATCTATATCAAACGTGAACAAATCACCTAAATCCTATATAAAATACATACATGACCTCACAAGCTGGATGTGTCATTGTGAGATACTCAGATTTGGCATGAGAGAAACTTGCTATTTTTCCACATCATAAGATCTCCCCAGAAGAAGACTAGTCATAGATTCGTACCGAGTGGGAATATTGATTAATATACACTCTTCAACATGAATCATGGTGTCCCTAGTTTGGTTCATTGTAATTTCCCTGCTAAATCTGCATGATAGAAAGTTCATGGAGAACTCGGACTATGAGTTAAAGTTGGAGAGGGGTTCTTCTGCTTTGCAAGGGTGGGATGCCTTCTGTGATCATCAGGGACTCTTTAATGTTAAATTGGGCACTGAGGTCACAATTACTACTACTGAGGTTTTTAAATGGACTTGAGATGCAGTATTGAAAGTTTCTCTAGTTATGCAAGCTATATCATTGCCATACATATAGTTCATGCTAAAATATACATTTTTCATTGTAGATATTGCCATTGGTCTCACCCACGAAGTTAATCATGGACATGTCTGTTAGCAGCTATGAGTGGCACGAATTCTTTCCCAATGGTAAAATCTTAAATTTTACTAATCTTTGCTTGATTGTGAATCTTTGAGATTCAGATCTGATTTCATATTTATTTGAGCATTTTGTAGTGACCCATAATATTGGCGTTGTTATTGCTATTTGGGCTCCAATTGTCTTGGTGAGTGTTCTTCAAAATAAATTATTTTGCATTTATGTGGCATATTAAGCATATCTAATGTAATTGTTGTCATAGGTCTATTTCATGGACACACAAATTTGGTACGCAATATATGCTACTATTATTGGTGGAATCTATGGGGCCTTCAGCCACTTGGGTGAGGTTAGTACATGTGTTTCTCTAATTTATTTTGAACTTTTAGGAATGAAGATGTCATGGATCAATGGGTCATAAAACTGATGAATCCTTCATTTTACAATAAACTATTGATCACATAGAACTATTATCGATGAGCAATTATGATCCAAATCCTCTGGTAACATGAATTTTCTCTTGACATCATAATTCTGCTATTTCGCCATTAGATTCGGACACTTGGGATGCTACGCTCGCGATTTGAGTCGGTTCCTTCAGCTTTCTATGAGCGCCTTGTGCCAATGCAGAAAGAACCTAGAAGAGAACAGCTGGTAGTGCTTAACTTCATTTTCTTTTATGATAAGCTTAACAAGGACAGAAACTCCGTAATACCATTTGGTTATATAAATGGAGCCATTTCTGCTACCAGTCTACATGTGATGTTGTGTCTGTTTACTAAGATGAAAGTGCTCTACAGGAAGATGACTCATTGGTGAGAAAGAACATAGCAAAATTTTCGCAGGTGTGGAATGAATTCATATTTTCAATGAGGATGGAAGACTTGATCAGCGACAGGTTGAAGCTGCTTCTTATCTCACACAGTTTTTGTTCGTAATCTAAGGAATCAAATTGAAAGTTAAGATTTTGTTGACACCCTTCATTTTCGTTTTCAAGCGAGAGAGATCTACTTCTTGTACCATATACTACAAGCGATGTCCCAGTGGTCCAGTGGCCACCATTCCTGCTCGCTAGTAAGGTACGAATCCTCTATGCCTCAAAGTCCTTTTTTATTGCTGTTATTTTTAATTGATTTCTGAAATCAAATGTCGATCATGTATTTGACTTCTTAACACTTATTTAAGATCCCAATCGCATTAGACATGGCCAAAGATTTTAAAGGAAAGGAAGATGCAGACTTATTCAGGAAGATCACTACCGATGATTATATGCGTTCAGCAGTTATAGAGTGCTACCAAACACTGAAGGAAATATTATTTGGCCTTCTGGATGATGAACGGGATAGTATGTAAGGCCTGCACTCATGTGGTCAATTGCTCTTGGCATCTTGATTCTAATGCAGATATTTACCTACAAGTTAGGAAGGCTGTTTCCCTTTTCTTTTTCTTTCATTGAAATAATCTCTTGACAAGTTGTCTCTTGCTCTTTTTACAGGATCTTATCGCACATATGCCATGAAATAGAAACTAGCATTGAACAGCGAACGTTTTTGAGTAAATTTCGCATGAGTGAATTGCCTTCGCTCAATGATAAGTTGGAGAAATTCTTAGAACATCTTGTAAGAAGCATTTCCTTTAATTTGTGGGTTATTACCCCGTATCATTCTTATCACTTAAATTCTTTTAATGTTTCTTAATATTTCCTGTCTTTCCGCTTTAGACTATTTTCTGATTATTTCATTGGGTATCTGCCAGCAAGCAGACAATGTTGATGCTGAGAAATACGCATCCCAAATCATCAATGTCCTTCAGGATATTATGGAGATTATCACTCAAGATGTTATGAACAACGGGCATGAGTAAGTCTTTTAGTTTTTAAACAACCAGCAAACTGATACACCGATGTCTCTAAAGAGATTTGAACTCACAATCTAAGAGTTGTAAGATCCATTGATGCCATTTGGCCAAAAGCGACTTGGTAGGGCAGTAGTAAGGTGTAACTCACAGCCATTTTATGAGAGTTTGCTTATTAGCAGCCTCTTCGTGTGAATTTTAAGTATTCTGTTATAAAATTCTTCACGTGTCCCTTTTTGTAGAATACTTGAAAGAGCCCACTCTCATCATCAGGATAATGACAAAAAGGAAAGATTTGAAAGAATCAATTTCCGACTAACTCAAATCAGATCTTGGAAGGAAAAGGTATCATCTGGCACTCATGATTTTGTTCTTATTGTTCCTTTTACTAATTTTTTAATTTGTGTTTGTAGGTGGTGAGGCTTCGTTTGCTTCTGACTGTTAAGGAATCTGCAATTAACGTCCCCACAAATTTGGAAGCACGTCGGCGTATCACCTTCTTTGCGAACTCCTTATATATGAGGATGCCAAATGCTCCAGTGGTCCGTAATATGCTCTCATTTAGGTCAGTTTAATTTTCAGAGGTTCACTTATTTCACTTGTGAATGCCCTGTATTATTGTCCTTAAAATTAGTTTTTCTTTGGGAATAACCCTTAACTACTGTTTGTGGTTTCTCTACTGATATATATTTCACATAGTGATATCATATTATTCTTTTTCATATCTTTAGCTTATATGATTGATATATCCTATCTTTTATAAAGGGGGAAAATAGAAGGAAAGGTATACAACCCAAGAATGGGAGCAGCATAGAGGTGCTAGACTATAATGCTTCCATTTAACAATAACAAAACCCGGGTGTGTCCTTGGTACATAGATGACAGATCATGGACTATAACGCTTCTATAAAGAATTCAAAGATCCTTATCTCCTGTTGCACCCTTAATACACGTTAGGCTGCATCCGATGACTAGGAGGGAGAACATGAATCAACCACCACACTCAAAAGCAAAACTACGCCTAGTGATTATGACCTTAAGAGATGCGTTTCACTTTACCAACTACTGTCCTGCACATCTTTCCTTGATCATTGATGAGCTCGTAATTGCCTGATAAACTTTGGGAGCATAGTACATATGCACTCTGGTTGTCAAGCACACAATTCTCAGCCAAGATATAATGGGTGTACTTCCATTGACACAAGCAAACTACCTTGTGGGACCTAGCCATATTGATCTATAACAAAATACTTCGGGCTCCCCATGTCTGAAACTCCCATTTCTGAGCTGCAATCCCCCTCCAAAGGATCCTTGATTCACGTAGTATCATCAAACACAATGTTTGAATAATCTGTCTGCAATGTCTTTGTAAGAAGCAAACTAAGTAATTGTAGTCTCTTAGGAGCATGACGAAACCAATAAAACCAACCAAAAGAGCTTGCCTAAGACCACATAAATACCTTGTTGGTGGACAAACCTTGGAGGCCTCTTCTTAAACCTCGAAACCATAAGGCTGATCCACATACACCTCCTACTCATAGATGTGCTTTAGAAATGTGTTCGTGTTACAGAAACATCTTATGTACTCCTCAAGATAGAGCCATAGAGGTAAGGTGTGTGTACATCTTACCCTCCCCAAATCCTACTCCGCCTGGGACTCACTGGGTTTGTTTTTTCTTAGCCGTTTGGCTAATAGACTTGCCATAAGCCTCCTCATGAGTGATAGCAGCCTTTAGCTTCCAATCTTCCTTACAACCTAGTAAGAGATCCATCATTGAGCTTTATAGCTCACCTCCTTGATCAACAAGGTCTTTGTTCAATCTAAGAGCAAAATTTGCCTCATGCATGGCTTTAATTCATGTCGGATTTGAGCTCAAACCTTAAAAATGTTATGATATACGATAACTATCCCTATCTAGAATAACTAACAATGACACAAAGGTTACTGGGCATAAAAATATGATGGGAAACGAGATATCAGAACTCTACAGACTAAGGGGCCATTTACCTAATGCTTACTTGGTAAGCGCTTACCGGATCACTTACCTTTACCAAATGTACATGACAAGGACCCAAAATCTAGCCGGTAAGAGCGATGGTAAGGACCAAGAGCCTTACCCGGTAAGTGAGGGTGACGGCTCTTACCTAGTTAGCGCTTACTGGATAAAATTGTTGCATACGATGCCGTTTTGACTGACTAGAACCTTACCCGGTTATGTAAATGAAAGTGTAGACTCTCAATGGTAAGTGCTTACCGGGTAAGCGTTAGTTAAACGGTCCCTAACTGGCATAAGTGATTTTTTTAATTACCTATGGACTATGTTATATGATGCCTTTGACCCAACTAGTCCACTGGTGAATGCAAAACTTCCCTTTGCGTGGATGGACAAACTTTAGGCTCTTCGAGCCAGTGGACATTGCCGCTAAGGAGTTGATAGCACCTGTGAGATTCAAACATGAAACCTCTTAAACCAAGGTCTGAAGCTGTATACATTAGGTCAACAACCTTGGGATTAGCATTAATGTGATTTTCCTTTTACTTTTAAGTAATGGGAAAATTGATAAACTGAGGGTAGCATAAAAAGATAGAAGGGTTGAAACATGGGATACTAAGTTACATGTTTGTCTTATCTAAGCAGTCAAACATGACTGGAGATCAGGGGAAAATTGAATCTTATTGAAGTCTGAAGTTTTCTGTCTGCTCATTAAGATTCTCTCTATGCTTTTCTCTTAGTATTGCCATAAGATATGCAATTTGCTTGCATTTAGCACATATGAACACTTGATATGACAACTGGGGTTGCTTCTGTAAACTTCAGTGTTTTGACTCCATATTACAAAGAAGATGTTCTATATTCCGAAGAGGAGCTTCATCTTGAAAATGAGGATGGAATTTCAATTTTATTTTACCTTCAGAAGATCTATCCAGGTGACTGTTGATTTCAGTTTTGACTGTTGTCCTATTTATCTAGTATCAAAGACCGTTAATTTTTTATTCTATATGCAAAACCAGATGAATGGAAAAATTTTGAACAGCGGACTAAAGGTAGCCAAGACAACACAGAAGCCACGCGTCAATGGGTTTCTTACAGGGGGCAGACGCTTTCCAGAACAGGTTTTTCCATTTGCATGCTAGTTCATCCTGTAAGTTATATTATATATTTTTAGAGGCTTATTCACTAAAGTTTGTCTCAGTGAGAGGGATGATGTACTACAAGGAAGCTCTTGAACTTCAATGCTTCCTAGACTATGCAAAAGACGATGGTTAGTGTGATTTGTTGCCCCAACAGACAGGGTCACATCTTACAGTTATCAGTTTCAGTATCATTTTCTCTTAAATAATTATTAGCTAACCACCTCTTTTCTTCACAGAGATTTTTACTGGATTCCGGACTCTTAATATGAATAAACCCCACATGGATCTCAAAGCACGATCAAGTGCAATGGCAGATTTGAAATTCACCTATGTCGTCTCTTGCCAGGTTTATGGTGCTCAAAAGAAATCTAGTGATGAGAGAGATCAAAGTTGCTATGTTAACATCTTGAATCTCATGCTGACGTAAGTGTTTTTTGATGGATTTCTGATTGTATGTCAATTAGAAATTTGCAATTATATTTCCTAATCATATTTTGAACTTTCAGATATCCTTCTTTACGAGTTGCATATATAGATGAGAGAGAGGCTACCGTTGATGGTAGATCTCAGAAGGTTTACTACTCTGTTCTAGTCAAGGGTGGGGATCATTTAGACGAGGTAATAACAATTCAAATGCAGAAGAACGATCACTTAAAATAACAAACTGATGATGGATATAGTTCTTTTTTGTATCATTGTTGTTATTATAGTACTAGTGGTAGCTTAACTATTACCATGACTTATTGGCATGTTAGGAAATATACCGTATCAAGCTTCCAGGTCCTCCTACAGAAATTGGTGAAGGAAAACCTGAAAACCAAAATCATGCGATAATTTTTACTCGTGGAGAAGCACTCCAGACCATTGACATGAATCAGGTAATTCCAAAAGCTTACCCTATTTTTGTCTTTCAGAAGCATTATCCAACATCTTACTATGTATGCATAGGACAATTACTTTGAGGAAGCATTTAAAATGCGAAATGTATTGGAGGAATTTCATAAAGATCATCATGGCCAACGTAGACCAACAATATTGGGTTTGAGAGAACATATTTTCACTGGAAGGTCAGTATTGATTTCATCTCAATTTATTATTTATCTTGAAAGCCTTTGAACTTGGGAGGTGGTGGCCATGGGGTTGGCTAGGGGGGTTTTCTTTTTTTCAATGAGAATGAATGGATGGTTATACTAATTTCTTCACGCATTTCAACTCTTGCCAGTGTATCATCCCTAGCTTGGTTCATGTCCAATCAGGAGACAAGTTTTGTAACGATCGGCCAAAGGGTTTTGGCAGACCCTCTGAGGTATGATCTTAATATGCTGTGCCCAGTTCTGTTAACATGATAATGACACTCGCATGTTTGTCTTGAAGAGCTACAATGTATATATGATAATATCGACCTCTGTTTTTTTATTTTCTTAATGGGTGATTGTCCTTAAAAATTTGACTTCTACGTCGTCATGATTTGAATTTCTTAACATTAGAGTCACTATACTTCACAGGGTGCGCTTCCATTACGGTCATCCTGATATATTTGATAGACTGTTCCACATAACAAGGGGTGGCGTAAGTAAAGCTTCAAGAACCATCAATTTGAGCGAGGATATATTTTCAGGTAAACTTGCTCATCCTTCAAAAGTTCATGCTTGATTCATTGTTAATTATAAAACGTCTTTCCAGGTTACAATTCAACTCTACGTGGGGGTTACGTTACACATCATGAATATATCCAAGTGGGCAAAGGCCGTGATGTTGGTATGAATCAGATATCCCTTTTTGAGGCCAAGGTTGCAAACGGAAATGGCGAACAAACACTTAGCCGTGACGTATACCGACTTGGTCGCCGTTTTGATTTTTATAGGATGTTCTCATTCTACTTCACCACAGTTGGTTTCTACTTTAGCAGCATGGTATAATGGCAAATCAAGCACTTCTATCTACTTATAGCTTTTACATTATTACTTGCATTAAATAACTTCGTATTCCTTTTTCTTGTTACCCAGGTTACTGTGCTTGTCGTTTATGTCTTTTTATATGGACGTATGTATATGGTTTTGAGTGGGTTGGAAAAGAGAATCATAGAAGATGCAACTATTAGTAGCAACAAGGCGCTAGAAGAGGCTTTGGCAACCCAATCCGTCTTTCAGCTGGGATTACTTTTGGTGCTTCCTATGGTTATGGAAATCGGGCTAGAAAGAGGATTTCGTACTGCATTGGGCGACTTTATCATAATGCAACTCCAACTGGCTTCTGTATTTTTCACTTTCCAGCTTGGAACCAAAGCACATTACTATGGAAGAACAATTTTACATGGAGGTTCCAAATATCGAGCTACTGGTCGTGGTTTTGTCGTCTTCCATGCAAAATTTGCTGAGAATTACAGGTTGTATTCACGTAGTCACTTTGTGAAAGGCTTGGAGCTGGCTATACTACTGGTTATTTATCAAGTCTATGGGGACTCGTACCGCAGTTCAAATCTATACTTGTTCATCACTTTCTCAATATGGTTYYTGGTWTSYTCRTGGYTGTTTGCTCCSTTYGTKTTCAATCCTTCSGGWTTYGAYTGGCAGAAGACGGTKGAGGATTGGACKGATTGGAAGMGGTGGATGGGKAATCGTGGCGGCATYGGKATTGCACAARATAAAAGTTGGGAATCATGGTGGGATGCAGAACAGCAGCACCTCAAGTACACAAACATAAGAGGCCGAATTCTTGAAATTATACTTGCATTTCGCTTCTTCATTTACCAGTATGGACTTGTCTATCATCTTAACATTGCACGTGGCAGCACAAGTATACTGGTTTGTTTCTTCCTTAGCGCTCGTTTGTTTTGTGTATTCTGCAACCTGTTCTCATCGATTCTTTCCTCTGTCAGGTTTATGGGCTTTCATGGTTAGTCATGATAACTGCTCTTCTAGCCTTGAAGGTAAGAGTGACTTGGTTCTTTACGTGTACAATGCTATAAATCATAATTATAAAATTTTGATCAAGTGAAATGCAACTACATATCATCGCTTGTTGTTGGTATATTTGAAGGAGTCCATTTAATACAAGTGTAAAGCCTTATTCCTTCCTTCCTAAAATAAGTGCCCACTTTTGAGAAATAAGTGCATACTTTCCCATTCTACCCTTAATTATGAGTTGGAGAAATTAATTACTTTCTCCATTATTAAAGGTAAAACTGTCATCTAGTTCATTGAAGTTAATAATTACACTTTTCAAAACTGTGCCTTTTTCATGTAGGATATACTGGGTTTGTTTGGTTTCCTGTTGGTTTTATTGCTTATGCTTAATTTACTCATCATTTCGTTCAGTCAAGTTTCAGTTGTGGATTATGGATTGAATTACATATAGACAATTGCCACTTCTTATCGGGTTATAGCCATTGAAGGCAATTTTTTGGTACAAAAAAAGATCAGATTGGTCATCTATGGTTCCTGAAAATCTGACGATATGGTGTATAATCTTCTTTTGTCAGCTGGTATCAATGGGCAGACGAAGATTTGGCACAGACTTTCAACTCATGTTCAGGATCTTAAAAGCGCTTCTCTTCCTTGGCTTCCTTTCAATCATGACGGTCTTATTTGTTGTATGTGGCTTAACCATCAGCGACATATTTGCTGCATTCCTTGCATTTTTGCCAACAGGATGGGCATTCATGCTGGTAAGTGTCTACATTACTATGCCACACTATTGAACTACACAAAGTAGCCTTTGGCCCAATACTACTCTTACTATGAGTTCAATTCTCTTTACAAACATCAATTAATCAATATATGTGAATGTTTCAAAAAAATAAAGCACGAGTCAAACTAGAATTATGGCCGTCCAATTTTCACAAGCCGGGTTGTTCTACTCCCTTGGGGTAGAAGACAGGTCTCCATACTCACCCCCCAACCCAGAGTGGACCCACTATGGTACATACGGTATATTCCTTGAAACTACAATAATAACGCAAGTTTCCCTTGGTAGAGTTTCTTTACAAGGTCTTTTCTTCTCGTCCAAGTGTGGGTTCGAATCTCATTTGTATCATTTTCTTAGTTTTTAACTTTTAATTTCAGGTTTATTATGTTTCTGAAAAAATTATGGATAAAAGATTCGAACACTGACATACAACAAGCAAGGAACTAACCAACAAACTGATTAGCTTCAATTTTTTATAGTCAAATTGTGCTAAAACTTGAAAAAACTTCTAGGTCTCTCTCTGCCCAGACCCCACCTCCAGGTGGGAAATACTGGGCTTGTTTCTTTTGGTTTTTGAAACTAGAATTATGGAATGATACTAATTTGAGTTGGTTTTGTGGAACTGTGAAGATCGGACAAGCGTGCAGGCCCTGTGTAAAAGGCATAGGATTTTGGGATTCGATAATGGAGTTGGGACGTGCATATGAATGTGTGATGGGATTGGTTATATTCATGCCCATCGTTATATTGTCATGGTTCCCTTTCGTATCGGAGTTTCAGACGAGGCTGCTATTCAACCAAGCATTCAGCAGAGGTCTCCAGATTTCTATGATTCTTGCTGGAAATAAGGACAAGGACAAGCCTCAGACTACTTGATAGCTTGTAAAAGTAACCCAAAGGGAGTTTTGAATTTTTAGAATGCTTCAATCCCAGATTTCAGTTCTACATATGTTTTTTTATTTATTTACTAATATTATTATATGTTTTTTCAGATTCTGAATTCTTTTTTACAGTAAAATTGTAATTATGAACTTAAATAGAAAAATGTTCTTCGCTCTTCCTCTACTGTGTTTGGTGAATCTGATTTTCATTATGATTATGATTATGATTTTCTGAAGGATAAAATAATCCGAATTTTGGAAAGTAGATAAAGGGTTGTTGGATAAGAATCCAGAACTCCAACTTATCGATATGAAACATCACCTTCATTTAGCTCATTGTGTAGAGTAAGTGATCCGATAGACGTTTGATGAATGACTCTTAATTACCACTCTAAATATTTACTTAAGCAACCACAAAGGTGGTGTCTGATTGGTTTGAGCTTTGGCTCCAAAGGTCAAAAGTATCAGGAGGTCTCAGGTTCAAATCCAAGGAGGAATAAAAATCCCCTTGTGGCCACGGAGGTTCAAATGCGGTAACTTCGGGCTGTCTGCAAAGCAGGTGGTCGCCCTGAGATTAGTCGGCTCGCATAACGGGTTGGATATGCAGGTTAATAAAAAAAATTACTAAACCATTCTAAAAATATTTTGAATATTCAACAAAAAGTAAAAGGTCTCTTATTACATTTCAATGTATTTCTTCTCATTGTTTTTTAAGTGGTTGATTTCTTTAACAAGATTCTCTTTGAAATAAGATGTTAGATAGGATGTATAAAATGAAGTAAAATAACATATAGTGATTAAATATTTAGCCATAGGTTATTCTGAGGAGTGGTACATGTTTGATAAGTAAAGAAGAGATTATAGCCCTTCATACGGTTAAGATCGGATTTGACTGGTCAATAATTGTCGTTTTGACTGGTTAAAATTTGCAGCTATGTAAAAAATAGAGGGAGTAGTTTCGTAACTTTTGCAAATAGGCAGCAAACGGGTTCACATATGAACTATTTTAACTGGTTCACATGTGAACTAATTAAAGGATTCACATATGAACCCGTGTGCCGCCTATTTGTAAAAGTTACGAAACTATCCCTCTATCTTTCATATATCCATACGAGAAATTATCCGATGCTTCACAGTCAAAGTCACAAACGTTGACTAGACAAATAATTAAGATCACTTGTTTACTTCTCAAATACTTACCACTTCTCAAATGAACTTTTTCCTAATTATTTATTAAATAAGTCATAAAATTGATTAACTAAAACAAACCAACCCTAAGATAATCATAAAAATGTATATGGTATGTATTTGTACACACATTGATATCTTTTTGATCACCTTTTATCTCTTGATTAAATAAATCAAATAGTTTGACTTTCACTTGTAGCTTTGAAATAGTAAGAGCATCTCTAGTTGGAGGTATTAAAGAACCTGACTTACATAAAATATTTGATTTATAAGTACTGTTCAATTTCACGTATAGGTCTTAATGGGCATGTAGTTGTAGGCGGGCAGAAGGGAAGGAGGTCATCATACAGAGTCGTCACGGGACTTTGAAAGCGTCGCATCTAGCTCAACAGTTTCTTTCTATCATCTGAGTTTTAATAGAACAATCTTAGTTCTTATTCTAAATATTATGTGAAATAATATTTTATCAGTTTTTTTATATATTCATATTATTGGTATTGAAATAATATATAGGACCTATAAAATGGGGTTATTATTAATCATTATTTTTATAGAGTTTTATGTAGTTTTTAATTTACTGAGTTGACCGATAAAAAAAAAGGAAAAAATATAAAAATAAAGTTGTCATAAAAGACTCCATAGGAGATGCTCTAATTTTGGTATAACCCATCTGAACATTATGCATAGGTACATAAATAGTTTTAGTAGAATGAAATTCAAATAAAGTCTTGGCATTAGCTTCAACACCCACCAATTACTTTTTTTTCTTTCAAAATAAAATTTTACAATGAAAAAAACATAAAGTTTTTTAAATTTGTAATTATTATACTCTTTAATTAATTAAATGATATTTTTACCTTCAGTAATAAATATAATTTCTTTCTGTATCTCATAATTAAATGTAACAAGAGAGTCTACAATTACTTGTTATTTTTAGTAACCGTAGATTTTCAGGTTAGCTTATTTGTACCGATTAATCTCTTAAGCTTACCATGAATGACCTAAAGCCATGACTATAAGAGATGAGATTTTCCACTATATTCCCTTGAGACTTAACCGTTTTACAACCCAAATAACTAAACAATTATTTAAAATACAAATATAAACACTAGAAATCATAAGAGGAAACGAAATTAAGCATCAAGATCACAAAACTTAACTGAATAGAGAGGTTAGGGAAGGAATAAACAGACCACCATGTCCTCGTATCATTCAATCAAAACCCAGATAATAATAATAATAATAATAACTAAAAGAAAACACCAAACCAATCACAGCTTCTTCTTCCCAGACCAAAAACCAAAAGAAAAGCATTTATCAACCAAAAATAGAAAAAGATAAATTAATATCGCTTACCAAGAACTATACCCACAATAATTGAGACCAATGCAACTCCCACTATGAACTTAAAGCTTGTCCCAATTGAACCTTCTTTGCTTTCAATCTGTGCCTTTGGTGCTGTGGATGAACCTTCTTCCACCTTTTTCTTGCTCTTACGCTTCACTGCCATTGATCCCAACTCCCTTGATTTCACCTCACTCGAGCTAACCACCTGCCAATTACACCATATTTAGTTATACTCCCATTCAGATCTACATTTTTTATAATCCAACCACATACATGTCAAAATGTGTATATACAGCAAGCTTTGGTTCTAAACCCGTTTTCTGTTGTGAATCGGGAGACAAGAGAGAGCGTAAAAACTTGTGCCCGGGTGTCCAAATTCAATGTATACCTCTTCTTTGGGTTTGGCATTGAGCTTTTCAGTGAGATCTTTGATTTGTGTCTCCAAATGTGAAAGCGATGCATTCTTTGCCTCAACCTCCTTCAAAGCAGCATCTCTTTCCAATTCCTTTTGTGAATGTGTCTCTTTCTGTTTCATAAACCAAATCATAATAAGATTCCCAATCCCAACCATTGTTTTTTATTATTGGTAATAGTAATGATATCATTATCATAGAATGCTATGCTGCTGACCTGTTCAACGATGGTGTTTTGGGCTGCTGCTAGTTTTTCTTCAAGATTCTTTAGGTTATTCTTTAATTCAGCATTCTCTTCCATCTCGGCCTTGAGATTTTCAAGCTCAGTCTTTAGAGACGTTTCGTTACATGTGTGTTCTTTCACTTCCCCTTCAAGTGTAGCTATAAATGTCTGAAGCTCCTTTTTAGCGTTTTCATGTGTTCCCTTCAGCATGTTGTTCTCTTCCACCAGTGATGATATCTGTGAATTAAACACAAGTGTACCTACGCTTTTAATACCCTTTTTTTCTTTCTAAAGTATCAAAGCACAAGAAACTGAGGTCATGACCATCCCAACCGTAGAAATGCCATTTTGTCAGTTTGGAAACTCCGATCGATAGACAAAAGGAATGGCGTTTTGCTGGAGATGGAGAGGAACAGTATAAACGACATGTTTTTGTTCAAATGGCATATATGCCTTTATGGTAGGATATGAAGCAACTTTTGGTGTTTATGTTCCCACCACTAGAGTTAACCATCTCCAATCTCACGCTAAAAATGTCATTTTTATAAGTATATATAATATTTATATACGATGAAGAGCGATCAAATGAAAACCACCCTCATTTGTAAAAACCGTACAAACCATCCTTATACGTCGATTTCATTATTTAATCTTATGAAATTTTTTTCATAAAATTGTTTAATCTTGTGAAATTATTTCATATAATACTTTTTTTAATGAATTTGTTTCATATATGGTTATGAAATTGTTTCATATAATATTTAATGAAGTTTTAATGAAACTATTTTATGTATTTTTCTAAAATTAAAATAATGAACATGAGATTAACATCCTCCATAATAAAAATGGTTAATCAACATCTCATAATTACAAAAAAATGAACAAAATGAAAAATTATGATTGGTTAAATGAGGTTTTCACGATTTTTACAAATTGAATGGTTTTTTTTTAACGTTCCCCTATATACGATAAATTAACTTGCACACCCTCCTTAATCTTTATCTTTGATGAGGTTGACCCCTAACATTATCAAAGGCTAGATAATGCTAACATCATCAAAGGCTAGATATGATAAAGTCCCTTTGGAAGAAAAAAATGTGATTTTACCAACCGGGCAGGCAAAAAAAGTCATTTTGCCTGAAATGGGACGCAAACAGCATATGTCGTGTTTTTGTTGGAATAGTATAAAATATAAATCATATATGTCATGTGGGTTGGAGATGGGTCGATTTTTAGTGTTATTGGGCCCACCAATTTGATAATTTTTGTGTTTGTGGTTGGAAGTTACCTGAGACTGGAGCTTCTGCCCTTCAGAAGTAAACTTTTCTGTCAGATCTTCAATTGCTTTCTTGGAGATATGAAGCTGATTAAGCGTCTCATCTTTTTCGCCTAAAGCTGCAGACAAACTCGTCTGGAGATCATCGAGTCTAGACTCATAAATGGCAACTTCTCGAGTAAGCTTCAAATTCGCTTCTGATAACTCTTTTCCCGCCTTATCAGCAACCTCATAGGCTCTCGAATGTTGGTCAGTTAAATCAGCAATGGTCTTCACATGTGAATCAAGTTTTTGAGTTGCCGACTCCTTTTCACTGTGTGCTGTACTTAGAGAAATTTCAAGCTCATTGATCTTATCTTTGAGCTGAATAATGGTTGCAACCAACATTTCATTCTCATCGGTGGTCTTCGCTGCATTATCATCTGATTCCGATATGATTCTTTTGAGTTCTTCATTCTCGCGTTCTGTGTTGGTTTTTACCTGCACAAGCTGATCTAATTCCTCTTTTAGCAAAGCAGATCTTCCTGCTGATTCTGCTAACTGCACTTCGTATGCCTTCAATTGATCTTCAAGATTTCTTGATTTCTCGAGCAACGAGTTGGCCTCAGTGTCTCTGCTGGTAAAATTCGCAACTGCTTCTTGGATTTTAAGCTCTGAATTTCTAGTGTGGGTTTCATGTAGTGTTTCTTTCTCCTCTAGCTGTTCTTCGGCCGACTTAAGCTTCTGAATGGTTTCTGCTTCTCTCGTTTTGGTAGCTTCAAGCTCGTTTTCGATTCCCTCCAACTTATCCTGCGAGACTTTGAGCTCGTTTCGCAGTACTTCGAGTAAGTTTTCAGTTTCGACAAGCTGTTCTGATGATTTTCTGGAGGTGTCTTCCAGGTGTTTTTTCTCTGTGGTTGCTAAATCCAGAGATTCAGACAATTCTTGCTCCTTTTTAGTGGCGCTTTCGACTGCGGCCTCGAGAGCGGTTGCTTTCGATTGCAATGCATCGAGTTCTGATTCGAGTTCAGATACTTTACGAGAATGGATGTTTGATCCTTCTTCGGTTTCCTTGCATTTCTTCTCCAATGTGCTTATCTGTTCTTCGAGCTCCTGGATTCTGTACTTTTCTGTTTCTAGTAACAACTCCAATTCACTGGCTCTTTGACCTGAATTCTCTGATTTGGAATTCAATGTCTGAATTATATCTTCGAGTTCAACGCTACGTTGATGGCTCGTGATGGCTCTTGTTTCGTGATCAGTGTATTTTTCAACAGCACTTTTAAGCTGCAACTCGAGCTCTGTGTTACGTGCAGACGATTGGGTTAACTCGGATTCTAGCTGAATTACTTTGTCTGTGGAATCTTGAACTTGCTGGTTCAGTTGTTTCTTTTCTTCTTCAAGACTGGTTAATGTTGAGTTAAGTGCAGATATCTTAGCTGAAAACTGTTCGAGTTCTGATTCGGTTTCTTTGGCTTTAAGTTCGAGGAGTTCCGACTGTTTCTCGAGCTCCTTGGCTTGCAATTTTGCTTCTTCTGCCTCGGCCTTCAGGTTTTCGGTTGATACCTGTAGCTTGGCTTCAAGATCACTGCAATGGTCCTTAGTTTGTGCTAAATCGGTTCTCAAATCAGCCACAACTGCATCAAGAGCTTCCTTCTCGTTTGTGGCTTTGTCTAGTTGTTCTTGAATCAAGATCAACTTTGCTTCTTGACTCTTAAACTCATCTTGAATCAGTACTTTTGCACTTCCTTCTTCTTGAAGCTTCAGTTTGAGTTCTTCCAACTGGGATTCTTTCGCTAGAAGATCTTCTTTGATTTGAGATTCAGAAACCTTCTTCAGATTCAGATCCTCGGTCAGTTCACTGATTTGAGCCTCTTGTGATGTGCATTTTTGCTGGATTTCTAATACTTGTGATTTTGAGACTTCCAACTCTTCTTGGATTGCAGATAGCTGAGCAGTGTGCAGGCCCTTGAGTTCTTCTTGAACTGAACTCATCTGACCTTCCATCTCTTTTGTGCTCACTTGAGCCAATTGAAGTAAGCTTTCAAACTCTAATGCTCTCTTGGTCTCTGATTCAGCTTGGGATTTTGAAGCTTCCAACTCTTCTTGGATAGCAGATAGGTCAGCAGTACTCTTCTTGAGTGCTTCTTCGACCTGTTGATGATCAACGATCTTCTCATGCAGGCACTTGAGTTCTTCTTGGACTAAACCCATTTGATCTTCCATCTCTTTTGTGCTCACTTGAGCCAATTGAAGCAATCTTTCAAGCTCTAATGCCCTCTTGCTCTCTGATTCAGCTTGGGATTTTGAAGCTTCCAACTCTTCTTGGACCGCAGATAGGTCAGCGGTACTCTTCTTGAGTGCTTCTTCAACCTGTTGATGATCGGCAATCTTTGCATGCAGGCCCTTGAGTTCTTCTTGGACTAAACCCATTTGATTTTCCATCTCCTTTGTGCTCACTTGAGCCAATTGAAGCAATCCTTCAAACTCTAATGCTCTTTTGGTCTCTGATTCAGCTTGTGATTTTGTAACTTCCAACTCTTCTTGGATTACAGATAGGTCTGCAGTACTCTTCTTGAGTGCTTCTTCAACCTGTTGATGATCAGCAATCTTAGAATGCAGGCCCTTGAGTTCTTCTTGGACTGAACCCATCTGATCTTCCATCTCTTTCTCACTCGCTTGAGCCAATTGAAGCAATCTTTCAAACTCTAATGCTCTCTTAGTTTCTGATTCAGCTTGTGATTTTGAAGCTTCCAACTCTTCTCGGATTGCAGATAGGTCAGCGGTATTCTTCTTGAGTTCTTCTTCGATCTGTTGATGATCAGCTATCTTCTCGTACAGGCTTTTGAGTTCTTCTTTGACTAATGCCATCTGATCTTCCATCTCTTTTGCACTCGCTTGAGCCAATTGAAGCAATCTTTCAAACTCTAATGCTCTTTTGGTCTCTGATTCAGCGAGTGAACCGCTCTCCTTATGCAACTCTTCGAATTTTTGGGCGTCACTTGCAGAAAGACCGAGTTCTTGCTCTAGATCATGCATCCTCTTTTTTGTGGTCTCCAACTCGATGTTTAGAGTCTCGAATGCCTCCTTTACTTTAACCAGCTCCTTTTGGTTAGCCTCTTGAGCTTGCAGTTCCTCTTGCAAGGTACTATTCTGTAAATTGTATCTCTCTTCGGCTTCTTTCAAAAGTTCTTCTAATTTCTTGTGGTTAACTTCGAGATCTTCATGTTTCTTCTCTTGTTGCTCCAACTTTTCTGTTGTAAGTGAGACTTGCTTCTTGAGTTCGGCATTTTCAGACTCCGAATGCTTGAATGCTGTGGTTACTCTTTCCAGTTCAAGCTCAAGTTCATTTACCTTCTCCTGGGCCTCGAGAACTTCTCTGCTTTTCTCGATGATGGCGGGTTTGTCATCTTCAACGGCCAACGATTGAGACGTATGGGAATCGCCATCATTTACGTCTGCGGGTTCCTTTTCTACTTTTATAAATTCTCCATCCAAGTCTTCCTTCTTGCCATCCTTATCTGCTGGCATTGCGTCCTTAGTAGTTTCCTACAAAAGAAAAACAGATCAATCAGGCTGACGAGCCATATCTATGGGAGATACTTCTTCTCTTCTCTAGATTCTCTATACATAACACAGACTGCATAAGAAATCAACAAAAGGCTTAATCCCTGATTAGTGTCTATTTTTGAACTTGAAGCTGAAAAATAAAGTACAAACTACAATCATAACAACTGTTAACAAATTTTGAAGTCAAAGAACAACATAATTGATACTCAAAAACCTCATTTGAACTATCCAAATTTTGAAGTCAAAGAACAACATAATTGATACTCAAAAACCTCATTTGAACTATCCAAATTTTGAAGTCAAAGAACAACATAATTGATACTCAAAAACCTCATTTGAACTATCCTTTTTCTTATGTTCTCCGTACGTGTGTTTTGCAAAATGATACTTTAATGTATATTCTAAGTTTTTTTATGGTTGAAGACTGCTTTGAACGAGGGATAAGTTGTTTTCAAGCTTAAAAAAGTTTTAGTTATGTTCTAGAAAACTCAATTTTGATCAAAGATCCGCCATAATGACTAGAAATATAGTTTATTGGAAGTGTCGGGATAAAATAACAGAGGGAAGCTTTTTTCATCAAAATTAGTAAGATAATTTGTGATGACAGAGTCTGAAATTGCCATTTAGATATATAAATTTAAATAACATTTTAATTAAATTTATGATAAAAGAATCCATAATCAGATTATGGATTTAACTAAAATTTTATTGAAAATTATATATCTAAAATTTTCTTTTTGAATGTTAGAATTATTGCAGCATGAGTATGTGATCATCTTTGACCCAAACAAGAAATTATTGAACATCAAAAAAATCCATAACCATAAGAAAATCATGGATTTAATTGAACTTTTATTTAAAATTATATACCTAAAATTTTCTTTTAAATGTTGGAATTATTGCAGCATGAGTATGATCATCTTTGACTCAAACAAGAAATTATTGAACATTAAAAGGTGGCTGGTATTAATTTTCTTGTTGGTTTCATTTGTCAATGATGCACAAGATAAATACTAGTAATTTAGGTATATAATGTTAAATGAATTTTCAATTGAATTCATACCTTCCTGACCTATTTATTAAAAGAAAAAATGGCTTCATAATTATTACAACTCATAAATTTAATTAAAATCTCACTTAAAATTATATAAATATAGAATGAGGAATAAGTTATATACCTCAGTAGCCTTGGCGATTGGTATCTCTGAACTTGCTACAGTCTCCTCTTCCATCACAAGACTAAATGTTGAATACTAGAGTTGTAATACAGACCTTGAAAATAAGGAACTTTAAAGTTAGGCAACGAAATAAAACACAATTTTTATAAGAGAAAAAGATCTAATATGAGAATATAAGTTACGCAGAGCTAAATTACTGCATCGGTTATTCTTGGTGTCTTTAATTCTCCATTTAATTTATACCCAGAATTTATTTAGGTGATAGCTTATTAATTAATTATGCCTATGTTATTGTAACATTATTTTGAAGTTTTTTTCCTCGAAATTATAGAGCAAATTTCAAACAAAAAAAATATGTTTTAGCAAGAAAATTTAAGTTTTTATGAGACGAATCAAATAAATTTAATGGCTTTTCAATTTTCATGCAAAAATGTATTTAACTATTATTTATTTTGTTTTGGAAAATAGAACACACTAACTTTTGATCATTAGAAATATACAAGTTATTAAACCTTCTTTAGATTTTTGTTTCTTATAATATTATATTTAAAAATAATTATCAATGAATTTTCTCTATTTTATTGTCATCAAATATAATTTAATATATAATTGTTACTCAAATATTTTTATTGAACCATAAATTAAATTGAATCTTGTACTTCATTTTTCTAAAAATGGATCGTATACTTTGGAGGAAGATAAAACAAATAATAATAATTGTTTTGATCTATAAACAGTTTAATCACATCATTTATTTATATAAAATAAAAACGTAAAAACAAAGTTTAAATTATAAAACCCCCAGATCAGCTATGCCTCGAAGATATCAAAGAAAAAGTGCAATTAATAATATAACAAAAATAAAATAAAATGGCCAGTGAGAATTTTGTTAAATAAAATGCGATATTTGATTTTGATAATTGTGGAATTAATAAAAGCATTAAATCAACAATTAAAAATGTTTCTTAAATAGTTTTTTTTTTAAATAACTACAACCATGAATTATCTAATTGAAAGGAAAGATGATATACTATTGAAGAAAATTCAAAATATTAAATATTTATACCTTTTTAAAAAATAACATCCGTCAATTATTGTATGAACATTTTCATGAACCAAGACAAATATTGTAACTCGTACCACGAGACATGTGCAAACACTTATTGGCTGATAAAAGGATTAAAAAGACAATATTAGGTAAGATGCTGAGATATAAACGTTTAGTTACTAAAACCAACACAGGACCCAGCTAGTATTATATCTCTTAGAACAAATAAATTCATAAGAAATTGTTCAGTATATTTTATATTTTATTTAACAAAAATATTATTAATAATCATTTTTTAACTTCCGAATCTATTATTAACATACTCTTCATCCAATAATATCATATAAATGTTATAAATTACATAGTTATTTTACATGTTATCATTTGAGATTATACAATACTTGGATCGGTCAAAATCATAGAATACATAGTGTAAAACATAAAAATTTTAGGTTTTAACTCACTTTTAACTCACAGAATCTTGGTAAATATTCTTAATAAGGAGAGGACGTATGAAAGCTTGAACCAAAACTTAAAGTCATTGGTTGCTTTAAGGCTACAATTTAATCGACCTTTTTGGTCTTAATAAAGTGAGAGAGGTAGGGGGCGATTACTACTAACTAACCTTGGTAAGCAATTATCGGTTCAATTACTTTACCGAATAAACATAACAAGAACCGAGAAACTTACCCTGTAAAGGGAAAGCAAGGATCGACACTCTTGCCCAGTAAGCGAGGGAGATGGCTCTTACCCGTTAATGTTTATCTGGTTATATATGTTTACCATCAATCCCAGAAATGTTACTCCATAAGGTAAATTAAAATGGTCACTCTTGCTCGCAAGAGTTTGTCCGGTAAGCATTTGGTAAACGAACCCTTAATTACGATTTTTTTGAACATGGGTTTTCAGTGCTTACCTCGCCTAATTTTATGGGACCTCAAAAAACAATCAGGAAAATTCTCACTAAACTAATCCCACAAGGTTAGAGAGTTAAATTACATTAGTGCAATTTTTACAAAAGCAATGCTGGCATTTAAATCCACGACATTTGTGCTAAGGTGCAAGCTAAATGCACACTTTTCTACTAATTTCCTCCCAATATATATATTAACATAAAAATTTATCTTTTATATTTTTAATATATCTTTTTGATGTAAATTTTGATATATAAATCAATGTATGTAGCAACTAGCAACACCCTGATCAATTAATTTTATCAACAAGGATATTTGGTTCATTTTGGTAACTCTACAAGTACTATCATCCAACCAGAAGAAATCAAAAAAAAATTGTAGGAAAGATGTCAACTCTCACCAAACTCATACTACCTAAAATTGTTTCTTCTGTAAGTTAGAGATTTAATGGATTACACAGTACTAGAGGCMTGTATCCCTGTTTAGGATGATCTCAAATCTATTGCGTGGGTTTTAAATCATTCAAGCCCATCCAACAACTAGCTTTCAATATTTTTTATCTGAATAAAAAGCTTGCCTCAAAATAAACCAAATGATATTCAAAGTGATACGATCAAATCAAGAACAATAACAGAGCAAGTCCATCTTAATATATCCACAAAATTATATAACACAGGTAAACGATCCATACTAAAAAGCTGATCAACAACATAACTAGCACTAAAAGTATCTGAAATCAATTATAAACATTAACGAAACAATTCGAAATTCGATTCCTAATTTCCAAATACTTCATACGCACATAAAACCTCCAGATACCAAATCCGTTCCAAATTTCTTACATACTTTACACAAAAGTTGATGTAACCAAAAGTCCGATTCACAAAAACAGTACCAAAAAGCAATTCAAGTAGTTCATATTCATATACCAGAATTTGATTCCGAATTTTCAGATACTTCATAAGAAACTCAAACTTCCAGATACCAAAGCAATCGAATCTATTTCAAATTTTCACAAACTTCAAACCAAACACAAAATACCAAAAGCTCGATTCACAATAACAATATCGAAAATCATATAAAGCGATTCATGTATGTAACTAACCTTAGATCTCTGAAACTTCACCTTTTTTTTGAAGCTCCTCCTCCTTTAGCATCCAAAATGTAGAGAGAGAGTAGAGAGAGAAGGAAGAGAATCAGGGTATTATAGCGATGCTTTTTAGTTTTTTACCCGAGTGGGGGTACGACATGGTGTGGGGTAGTCTACAGTAGTAGCCAGCCAATTAGGACATAGTTAAATCCCAGACGGTGTCCTTTCCACCATTGCCCCTCCTTGCCACTGGATTGCTCATTAATTTACATTACTACCCTTATGCCATAATTACCAACAACTAAATAAAGAATCTTTTTTTTTTTTAATCGTACGTTTGGTATGGAGATCGGATCGATAAGATTTGAACATGATAAGATGATCGAATCTTATTGATCTGATCTGTCATAACCTGGTTTAATATCGTGGGACAACAGGTTTTTTATCGTCTTGTGTTGTCGCACGTACCAAACACACCTTCAAAGCATCTCTAATGAAAGGTTCGAATAAACATATAAGAACCTTACATCATTTGAGGGTTTTTTTATTAATCTGGATATCTAACCCGTTATGCGAGCCGACGAATCTCAGGGTGATCGTCTGTTTTGTGGTAGCCTTAAGTCACTGCATTTGAACCTCCGGGCCATAATGGGATTTTTATTTCTCTTTTGATTTAAACTTGGGACCTCTGACACTTTTGACATTTGAAGTTCAAGCTCAAACCAATCAGTATCACTTTTATGGTTACATTATTTGAGTTACTGTACGTGAACCTTGATTTCTATCTTGAACTTGGTGTGTAATGACTTTTTGTTAGTTTTTTTATATATTTTATTTAATTTATAATAATTTATAGATGTGGAACCTAAATTATTTATGTGTATGTTTTGGTTTTCCAGACGGGTCGGGTGGTCAAAAATCATACTCAATTACCAGAACCCAATTATCCCTCCAAAAGTTGGGTTTCGGATCTTCAAATTTTGAATCATTCGGGTTTTGCACAAAACGCCTCGTTTTTAGCTCGGGTTCGGTTCAGTTGCCGGACCACTTATGGTTTGCCACCAATGATGACTAGATAGGTAGGCGTCATGTGTGCTTTCAGATGTTCTGTATTTGACAAGAATAATCGTTGATTTATAATAAGACGAATATGATGGTTCAAATTTTACGTTAGTTTCGTGAAAAATACAAGATTCGTTTGAAGACAAAAAAAAAACTCGAAAAATCACATTAAAGAATATGAATCTATTACTGTTATATCAACCGAATAGCATTTTGTTATTGTTGACCGGTTAATACACAATTCACGATGTAATTTTAACTTATCATGATAAGATCGAATTTATATGACATCAGGGTAATAGTGTTGTAGTGGTATGCTACGTCGGTGCAACAGTTTACCTTGATATGTGTGTTTTTGTTTTTTATTTAGTTATGGTTTTTCATTTTTCAGTCGTGTTTGTTATGGTCTATTTCATTCAGTTCGGCATCAATTCATGTTTTAATTCGAGACTGTTAGAGTTGGAAAAACGGTTTCAATTATGGGTCTTGTTGTTTAATATTGTCTCGATATATTATAATTGAAACCATTTGGGTCGTGGCGCACTGGTTAAACCTCAGGAGGGATATAATTGAAAATCTCATTTTAATAGCCAATAGTATTATCCGATAAAGTAACTGAGAATGATGACTCTTAGCAAGAAACGTTTATCCAATAAACATTTGATAAAACGGTGTTTTTAACTTACAATCCTCAAACATGACTTAGGGGCCGTTTATTAAACCCATATCCATGTAAACACTTACCAAGTCACATTTATTTACCTAATGAATATGACAAGGACCAAACATTTTATCCGGTGAGTGATGGTGACAATTCTTACCATTTACCAGGTAAATTATTGTATATGATGTCGTTTGATGGACTAAACTCTTATTGCGTAAGTATATGATGGTATTGAATTTTACCGGTAAATACTTACCGAATAAGTACTTAACCTCATATAATTTCTCTGTATGATAAATTTTTACTTTTGAAGAAAAGATAAATTATATACTTGGGTAATTATAATTGGCATATGGGTTTTTCAAATAATTGCTTATAACTTGTGAAAATTACCAAGTTGCCCACGTTTTACTTGAGAGAAAAAAGTAATGGAAAGTGCATGAAGAATGTTAGTTTGGTCATTTAACATGCCATTTGCATTTTAAGACAAAAAAGTGGGGCACACCAAGAACCGACCAAACCGGCCTAAAAATTCCAGTCTGCAAAAGGTGACGAAATGGTGTCTTGTGCGAAATAGACACATATGCTTTCCGATCTACTTTTTTTTTTCTTTTATTAATTAGTAAGACAAAATAAATTACCGTTTTTATTTCATATTTCTCTCTTCAAAAATACGGTTAGTGTTTGTTTGGCTAATGTTGAGAAATGAAAATGACAGATAATGAATTTTTATTTTCTTCAACCAGGAATGAAATTTTGGGTTTCTGGAGGAATGAACTCATTATATTATAGAAAATTAAATAATTTTTTTTTATTATTATTCTCATTGATTACTGCTTAATACATCTAGTCAAACACCCCGTTGGTTGTTGGCTAACAACTACAAGGTCCTATTTTACATTTTTTTTTTTAAGATGTAATTTTATTTATAGACTATTATATAAACTTAATATATACATATATATATACACACACATTATAAGATTATAGAAAAATTCAAATACAGCTTAGAGGGAATCACAAGTTTGGCCCCTTGTGAATAGTTGTTTTTCGGTTTTGGTCCCTTCCAAACATGAAGTACATTTTTGGTCCAAAAAACAAGTTTTTTAGCCCGAACTTGCCCCTCCCATGGACGCCATTTAAATCTCTAGCCATGCCATGTGCCTCTCACGTGAAGGACATTTTGGTCATTTCCCCCTTTTCCCTCTTTTATTTACTAGATTAATACTCCAACGTTCATCTTTATCCGAAAATGGAGAAAATACTAAAATGCCCCTTACATGACGGGCACATGGCATGGCTAACGGCAGTGATTTAGACAACATCCATGGGAGGGGCAAGTTTGGGCTAAAAACCAAAAATTCGTTTTTTGGACCAAAAATGTATTTTATGTTTCAGAGGGACCAAGACCGAAAGGCAGTATTCACGAGTGACCAATTTTGTAATTCACTCTACAATTTATTATTTTTCACCATTGTATACTAATTTTATTTTGTTGATTTATGTATTTTGTTAACATACTAAAAACAGTTAAAACATAAATAAAACAAACTTTAAAAATCTATTTTATAATAATAAATTTAATTTTTTTTTATCAATTTTTAACTTTTATGTTTTATTATTTTTCATCATTGTATATTAATTTATGTTTATTGATGTATATTACTTAAAATTCAAGATTACAAGTAAAATATAGGATAAACATTTCATTTTAAATATAAAAAAACTAAAATATAATTAGGATAATTATTGGGTACTAATAAAAATACTTATATCTTTATAAAAAATTATATTATTAAACAAAAATAAAAAAAATGAATTAAACAAATACATAAAAAACGAGAAATTTTAAATAGTTAGTCTGGTACTAACATCAATATTTTTTATGATATATTCATATTTATATTTTATTCGGAAAAAAAAAAACATTATGCGAAAAAAGAAAAAAAAAACGAAACACTAAAAACGAGATGTATCTCGTTGCATTGTACGAGTACCCTTCTAGTATTTTTAAAAGTGTTAATGATTCGATTAAATTCAAAACTTCAAAGATCTTAAAATTAACCTTAAATAGCGTTCGTAAAAGAACAGAAATATATAAACGTAATTTCATTTCGAATAACCTCGAGTTTAAGTAAGTTTTTGTTTTAGTTAGCGGTTGAGCCTCAATACAGATAATTAAAAGCATCTTTAATAAATATGTTATATTTTTGAGCAAACTTTTTATAAATCTCCAAAATTTCTAAAAAAATATATATATAACAATATAACATTACTTTACAGGGTGAATATGGTAATAACCAAGAATCTTACCCGATAAGAGCGAGACAAAGACCACAAGTCTTATACGGTAAGTGAGAATGATGACTTTTACCACGGTAAACATTTGTTGGGTAAATTATTGCATACGATGATGTTTTGGTGAACTAAAAAATCTTACCCGATAAGTAAATGATGGTGTTAAATTTTACTGATAAACACTTACCAAGTAAGTTTTTGATAAACGGCCACTTAATTTTATATTAATTATATGGCAATTAATAATTCTCGTTAATAATCCAAACTATTGATTTCATATACAACTATTTGACTTCATGTGAAAATTCATCTTAGGTATCCAAACTCGTGAAAAACAAGTCGGGAATTTATTATTTATTTTTCTACGAATTTTGACTTTTTTTCATGACTTCAATGGCTGATTCATTAAGTCATTAAGTAGCATTTAATTTTTACATGATTATAAAACAAGGCGTTGAAAAATGATGAATTAGATAGGTTATCGTGTAGCTATCGTTAATACTAAATGATCTTGATCCAAATATGTCTTATTTAGACGTGTTTGACAACAATAAGTTTAGTTAAGGTGTTTCTTTTTAAGAGGTGATGAAGTCTGAAGTCTGGTTTTATTTCTGATTTATAAAAGATGGTTATGAAGTATGAAATTTGAATCAGTAAGATTGTTTATTTTTACGTCTGAAATCTGAATCGATCAAACTAATGCAAAAATATAAAAGATAAATAGTTTTTTTATTAAAGTATAAAAGCTAAATAGTTTTTGCTAAGAAATCTCTTCCGGCCCTCAAAATATTAACCATTTGATAAAGGGTGGATTAGAATTAAGAGGTATCAAATGATACGTTTACCACTTAAAATTTCAGATGACATTTAAAGCTTTTAAGATATTGTTTAACGCTCTTAATACCCAAACATCTGAACGAATTAGACTTTAGAGTTATTAAAAGGTAATTTTAAAAAAATAAATAGGTCTTTAGTTTTTAAATTTATTAAAAAATATTACCTGATAAACAATAAGCTAACTTCTTAAGAATATACCAAGATTAATTCAGATAACTTCTCAATAATTTCCAAAAGTTTTT